AGAAAACTCTGACATACCTACTTCCTCTGCCAATGCACCCTGAGCTGCACCACCTTACATGCCCAAAGCGTCTCAGCATCTGGCTCTGCTTTGGCCTTGTCCACACCCAGCAGCAGAGCCTCAGCTCATCCCAGTGGCAGGAGCCACTCAGTCACGGTGCCCTTGGCTCGCAGGTTGCAGTGGCGCAGACAAAAACCCTGGTGGCTGTCTGGGGAAGGACTGAGAGCTCACTGAAAGCCTTCACCATGCTCAGGGCACTCCAAAGCAGGCAGGGAGCCCTGGCTATACTCTCTGCTGCCAGAAATGCTTGCATGTATTATTGATCAAGTGCCAAACACAACTCATCTTAGGGACACGAGCCATGGCTCAGGACTCCCCTCTTCTCAGTGAGTGCCCTAAGCATTAGCCCACAGTCCTGCAGCTTTTTTTGTTTCTTTGTATTCATGCTTTCTCTCCTTTTAATTAATTTTGATTTGGTGGCATGCATTCAAAAGGAGAGGGAAGGGTGTTCTTCCAGGATAAGCTGTAGCCCTGAAAATAGGACATGTGGATTTGAATTATCTTAGGCTGAGCAGGGACCTGAATGCAAATCTGCTGCTTGCTCTGCCAGTGCTGTAATCACCTCTTGTGTTGGGAAAGGTGCACAACAAATGTTCCCAGCGACGCACACGTTGCTCCTTGAAGGAACAGACAGTGGAACCGTCCTCAGGGCAGACCCAGAGCCAGGCTCCTTCAGGAAGGCTTCTCCTGGAGCTTGAAGCCTGTAACAGGACATTTTACTCAGGTAAAATTTCACCCAAGTACTCAGGTACCTGGGCAGCTTCTGGCTGAGTGTATAGACTTTGCATGACCCTTTACTCAGGCTTTCTGACTGTTAATCTGAAGTGTTAGAAAGTAAAAATCATTGATTTTGTCTAAAATTTTATATGGTAGCAGTGATGCTTTCAGGGTTAAGCCAGTACACATAAGCAGTATACTGACCTTAGGGTTTGGGTGAAACAATATATGGCTGATATTTTTGAGGAGTGCCAAAAAGTGCTTTTCTCTCATAACATCTTTTCAAGTAGTGTTAGCCATAGATCCGGGTTATTCAGAGCTAGTCAAACTGCAAACTTCATAAGGTTGTCCCTGGGCATGATCTTTGTGGAAAAAATGCAAACCTATTCACACGCTGGGCTTACATCACCTGCCGAGCTTTGGAGGCTGCTGGGAGGGTGTTGACTGATGACAGCTCTGGGAGCCCCTACTGTTCCAGGCACCCACGGCAGATGCCTAGAGGCTAGAGAGGCTGCAACTCTCTCAGTCGTTTAAGCCCTACTATTCTGTGTGCAAAAGATCATCAAAAAGCAACAAAAAAAAATGCTTTACTGTGTAACATCATGTTGATTCAATACACAAATTCTCACGTTAGCTTTCCCTGTGCTTTGAGAAAAGTGTAAATTAACAACAACAACAAAACTATGAAATTAAACTTCTTATGTCCAAACCCCAAGGCTCTTATGCTTTGCTACACTTCAGTTAATTTACACTATTTCTTTTTTAAAAATTCAATATTAACACCACTGTCCTGCAATAGACTTCTAACTTGAAGTTTTTATTTTTTCCCACCCCCTGTCAGAACAGAGACTCAGCGAATGTAATGCATGCTCAGAAATGGCAAGAACACTGAAAACCCCAGATACTGTCCAAGAAGCGAATATGTGATAAGATTCCTTAAGCTGGCTTTCTTCAAGCAGTGAACAGGTACTACAAGTACACAGGCATATTGCTAACTCTCAGCACACTGCAACCTCTGTGGCAGTCCCTATTCCTCTACTTTCAAAGAATTTTGGTGTTTCATGAGGTTTCTGTTTACTGAAATTACCTCTTTTAACTCCCTAACATCCATTTCGGTAGCAGAAGAATGCACTTGGATCCTCTCAGCACTTTCAGCTCCAGGATAAAAAAAAAACCCACACCCTTAGCTTTATTCTCCTCTGTCATATGCTCAGCTTTTTCTCTTAAACAACCCCATTTTGGTGGCTTACCACTGAAATAGTCTATTATTAGTGTAGTTGTCAATAGTTGCACTTGTAAATGTTAAAACTTGGGTTTTGCTTTCAAGAGTGGTGAGCTCCCAGGAGACAGTTGTGCCCCTGTTGGAACCCACCCAAAGCTGGAGTTAACTACTGCAGGAGATGGTGCAAGCCCAGGGCTGTTTGTCCTCGTTCTTCACTCTGGTGTAACCAACTAGATCCTCTCTGCTAAACACAGCACCAACATATGTTGGTGTTTGCCATTTCGGGACAGATCAGAAGTGATACTTGTCTGACTTCCCTAAGACACCCATGGTGCTGGTTCCACCTAAATGTAGCTCGTGTCTACCAGACAGGGAGCAACTCAAGGCTGGAATAAGTGTGTTTAGAATTAAAATGGCAATGGCAACTTCAATGTCTGAATGCGCTGCCCATGGAAAAACATTAGTGGAAGACTGTAGGAATTTCTAGGCATGCAGGCCATTTAAATAATCGTGTTACATGTAATAGTGCAGATCTTCCTCCCTCTCTAAGTACTGTGCAACCTTTTTATGCAACCCTTTTTTAATTGTCTTCTCTCCTTCTGTGGATACTTAAATGGGGGCTCTGGGGCAGATCAATGGAGATGGTGGAGCAACCTCTGCAGCCCTCTCATTAGTCCTCAGGACTGGGCAGGATTTTCTGCACAGCATGTTCTTCTTCCCTAATCTCACAAGGCGAATTCGAATACATCCAATTAAGACATAGAGGAAGCTTTAGCTAGAAGGAAATAACCTAATTTGTGTTTCACTGGAACATGAGGGTGATACATCCATCTTATTACAGCAAACAGAGCAAGGATAACAACACTCTGCAGTCCAGGACCAGAACACAACCCTTAATGTAAATCAAAGGTTTAAATATCATTTTTACGAGATTCATCTTTTAAAGAGCGCCATAACCCTCACTGGCCGGAGCTAACTCCCTCTCATATGTAGGGAGTTGTATTTTTGACATGTTTTGTTGACATAACACCCCTGTCTGCTCATGAAGGACCACCCTGAATGTCCCATTGCACTTCTCTGTGTTACAGCTTACTTTGTGTGCATTTCACACCTTACAATCCTCCAGTTGTTAGCATTACTTGCAACACAATATGTCAATACCACTCTGATCAACTGGTCTCCTGTAATAAACTTTGGAAGTTACATCTTTGAAAAAGTATAGGAAAACCACTTCAGAGATCAGTTTTCAGGTGGATTGAAAAACACTCCTTGTCACAGAAGAGACTCAGGAGTTTTTCATTTGCGTTAATGCAGTGCATGTTTCTTCCAGCATCGGTGGAGAAGAAAATGTCATTGGTATCAGATGAGGATATATCAGCCAGAGTTTTTTAAAACAACAACAACAACAAAACAAACAAACAAACAAAAATCTCACAGCTTGCAATGGCACAGCAGCTTTGCCTCCACCATGCTCCCATACCGGGATTGCATCTGCACCAGCACCGACTCCAAGCTCTGGTCTGGGGATGTGTTCCCTGCATCAGTGCAGAGCTATTCTGAGCCACTGGCAGTGTCCCCATCCAACGCACCAGTGTTAAAAGCTTACTTAGTAAATATCAGATTTCACGTTGTTTCATTTACCATTTCCCACTCTTGTCCCAAGCCAAGAACAAAAGGCCTGTTGTAACTTCACGTTTCTGATCCCCTCCCTCTGGGTTTCCACATAGCAAAAGCATTGCCACCTCCCCAGCAGTCCCTCCAAACCCACATCAACGCCAAGCCAAGCCAGGCTGTGGCACCTCTTCAGGATCAGGAGGAACACAAGAGTAAACAAGAACCCAAACACTCGCAGACTGGTAGAAGGTGGAAACCATTTCTGCCAGCTCTGGGTTGTACAGAGCCAGCTGCCAGAACAAGAGACAACAGAAAGTGTCCTCTACAAAGGCTCACAGTAAATGCTAAAGGGTCAGTGGTGAAAAGACTGCTAAAGAGATAGTAACTTTAGCTAATCAGAACGGCTGCTGCCTTGCTGTCTAAAACACGAGGGTTTTTCTGGGATATCTTTTTTTTTGTTTTGTTTTGTTTGTTTTTTTTGTTTTGTTTTTTTTTTGGGGGGGGGGGGGGGATTAGGAGGGGAGGGCTGGACTGCCCTGTGAGTTATGGTAATATAGTTCATAGAATACAAAGGAGTTTCTTTTCCCTTTCTTTTCTTATTCATTACTTTAAATGTATCGTGTTCTCCTTTATACCTTTTTATTTTTTTTTCTAGAAAAAGTAGATGAAGGTAGGTAATGGATAGAGCTGCAAAACCCAGCATAAATGGACACTCGAGAACCTAGAGATATTTTGCAGGTAGACAATTATTTGAGTGCTATTTTTTCACTAAGAAAAAGTTTAAAAATTAAAAAATACTGACATTGGCCATTTCAAAATAGATTTTTCTGTACAAAAATCAAACAAAAGTCATGCTAGGGTCATTTTAGTTTGGCACCCTTGGGCTAGCATCTCTCCCCCTTTCTTAGCATGATTCTGTTCTTTCCCTTGTGGAGATAAGCTGGGGGATTTGCATGCTATTTTCTCACTGACTCATTTTCCAAATATGGCAATTTAACAAATATTATTCTGCAGGCAGCCATCCCCTTCAGATCCTTCATAAAGGAAATTACTCAATCAATAAAGTTAATTTTCACTCCCCCCCGAAGCAGCCACCCACCCCAGCAGATGTTCACAAACAGACTAAAACAAAGCCAGAAACCCACTCACATCCAAACATCCCTTGCCAATGTCCTCTTGCAGTTAACACTGAAATTAATACTTCATCTACAGTAGAAAGCAATGCAGAGAGCAAGGCCGTGTTCTGCTTCTTTAATTAGCGAACTGAAAGATTAATAAACAGCACTGATGAGCCCTGGTCCACTCTTGCTATGTTTACAGTCAACCAGCTTCTACAAGTGTTGTGGGATGCAGGAACTGCTCTCACTGTCATGTTTCTTTCTGCAAGGGGTTCCACACCAAACAGGGAACAAGCCCTTACCTGGAGATCCTGAGGAGAGCCTGCAGCAGCCTTGCTTCGGCTGGAGTGTGGATGGCACTGAGAAGATTCTCCAAACTTCTGGAGCAGGGTTGGTCTTTGTGAGCCTGCAGCAATTGATGTGCAATAGTGTTTGTCACGTGAGGAAAATGTACAGCACCACTCCTTTCACATCTGTTTCACTTGTGATAATAAAAATAAGATTCACTAATGGGAAAAACATATATTTATTTCTAAACTAGCCTGTTTTACAAGAACACAGTATTAGTGGAGAGACTCCAGATTGAAACTGAGAAAGGTCAGAATTAGGTTCTCCTCCAGTCTTACATTATCTAAAACTGTGTCATGTGTAATCTCCCTGATCCTAATGGCCCCAGTTTGAGTTTCCTTGGGAGTCACACCTTGGTAGAAGGGGCATTGGCAGCCTTAAACAAGACTTAGTGAATGTGTTAGCTGGCTTTAGGTAAAGTTTGAAACAAGACAGAAAAAACAATGGTTTAAATATAATGTTTAAGAAAAAACAAAACAACAACAACAAGAAGAAAAAAAACAGTTGTTCTCAAGCTGTATGTCAAAAAAAGTTACTAACAACAACCAAAAAAACTACAGTTATGGAGTAGGGGGTTCCAAGGGCAAAACAAACACTGTGAAATGAATGAAAAGCAATAGTGCAGAGCATCCCTACTCTCAGGGTGTAGGTGGGGAGGAACTGGGACCATAGGAGGTTGGTCTGTACTGTCCTCTGGGTTCATTCTCCATCCCATGGGCAGAACGGGAATTTCCCAGAGAGCAGGGGCTACATGGGGAGTGTGTCCCTGGGTTTGGTGCTGTGCTGGCAGGGAAGGAGTGGTTGTGGACTAAAATAGCTTTGCATTCAGATCTTAGCAACCACACATACCTGTGTCTGTTGATTTAGCAGCAATTTCCACCCTTGTGGACACAATTAGCACCAGGAGAGCCTACTTCAAAGAAATTAACCACTGTAATTTGAAGCAGAGCTGTTGCTATTAAAAGGACAAAGACATTTCAATGACAAGCTCTTCTGGAGGAAGAGTTGAGAAGTCAGCACCTGATTTGTTAGGGGATCCAACCTGAGAGGACAGAGATTGGTAACACAACACAGCTGGCTCCTCGGGTAGGGCTTCTGGCAGAAGCCAGAAGAGCAGAGAGAGTAGTCTCTGTTGCTGGTAAATTAACTGCAAAAGCTCATGGCTTCTGCTGCTCAAAAAGAATTGATAACAAAAGATGGCGAGCAAAATCCTTCAGCAGTTTAACCAAATATCTGTGATGTATCATATCTAATAAGCTTAAAACACGGAGGTCCAGCACATTCCTGTCAACAGCTCCTGAATACCGCCTCCCTTTTTGTTCTGATTTTTGCAGGCTGTCAGGGTATCAGAGCAACTTACTTAAGGTTTTCTATAGAACTGCCCAGCATAAATGCCATCAGAAGAGCCCAGATCCAGCTACATCACCTGTTGAAAATAACAGATCCTGGAGATAAAGGATGTTTTTCAGAAATCTTTACCACAGACAAGAGCTGGAGGTGCTGGGTGTTGTTTGTTATGCTGCCTGGCTATGGAACTATACTGTTTAACTAATACCAAGCTCCTAAAGGTCACGGCTGATGACAGAGTGCACACAGATGGGTTTTCCAACCTTAAGATAACTCTCGGCAGCTGTCTCCTGCATTTAAGGTTAGTTTTTTGCCTTACCAGTGTAAAGGCGTTATTTACAGTTTTAAATCCTCACTGTCATATCTGAACCCAAGGAACAGCTGCCCTGTACCGATCATTAACTGCAGTAAATTGTCCTAGTGGCATAGGGCTCAAGTGTTGCTTTTGCACAGAAAAAAGGCCAGATATTAATGAACGTGGAGGACATCTATACAGCCATTAAGTTAATGTTTTAAAAATAAACACGAACAAGGAAAAAAAAACAACTTATTTCCTTAGCTTCTACTTTGATGTACAATTCAGTGAACTATTTTTTTTAACCTTCTGTAGTTCTTTCTGTGTAATAAGGCTTTTTCCAGTCACGGAACCCTCTTCCTTTGCTGCTGTTATATTTGCAGCCTCCCCATGCTACTGAAGGTCTCTCACTGTTGAGCGAGGATCTTTGCTTTCTCACCTTCCAGTATATTGTTTTTTCTTGCCATTGACTTCAGAAAAAAAATGCCTGGGGCTTTCAGGAAATTGCCAGAAAGTAATTTTTCTTTCAGTGCAAAGCACAAGCACTCCATATGCATTTCACACTTGACAAAAGCACTGGGTGTGGGTGGTGGCTAAAGATGCCTTCATTCATGTGATTCTGGAGATCCACAGAGGAACTTCTCCCATTCCTTGGGAGACTCCTCTTTCCTCTGTGCCCTACTCTGGAGTTGGGCCTTGCAAGCATCTCCACTGCTGTGTTGATAGTGATCAGCTGTGTGAGGATGCTGTGTCCCCATTTTTACTCGGAATGGCTTCAGCACCTGGGCATTGCTCTTGTACCCGGAGAAGTCAGGGGGAAGCCTCCTGCCATCTCTATGTGACTTTTGTAGGAGCACAACTGGAGCATTTATTGTGCTGCTTGGAATGGATCTATGATGCTTTGAACATTCTCAATGCAACCTTCATGGGTCATCACTCAAACAAAGCTGGATTTCTCCTCCTTTTCTGAATATTACTGATGCATGAGGAGATACAAATTTGGTTAAGCTTTGGCTCCTTAAATTAAAAATATATGTGTGCCTTGTAGTCTGTTGAGTTAGAGGTGCTTGTACCTGTGGGCTTTCAGAGATATGTATAATTGATCCTGCACTGAAGTGGAAAAAAACACATTTGACTTAGAGAGTAAATGGAAACAATCGTCAGCCTCTGTGGGGACTACATTTAGATAAGTTCTCCTAGCAGCAGGCTACAACCCAGCATGCTTTTGCTCTTGGGACATGGTATCTTTTCTTAGAAGCTATTAATAGTATGAAGCACTATCTAGTGCTCACTTTCTCACAGAAATGTTTTATTTATATTCACAACTCTGAGCTCCTTACAACATGATTTTCCACCGCCACCACCCCAAATAAAGATTCTTATTCCAGTGATCACTTGTGGGCAAGTGAAAGCACACCAGACAAGAGAGCTGCCTCACAACAGGTAGCTTTCCTTTCCCAGGACCTATGCTCCCAAAGTATTCATCATCAAGCCACCTGTAACTCTATGGACTGTCTTGCAGCATATTTCACAGTTTCAGCCCTATGGCTATGCCAAGAAGCCCTTTATCTTCTGCCATAACCAGGGACACCTTTCCACCCCCCACCCCCCACCCCAAATTAATTTTATTTATTTATTATCCATTTTTTTTCTGCTCCGGTAATGCTTCAAAGATGCCCTTCTACTGTTTTCCAAGGTCATGTCCTTTAGAAAGTCTTGATGTTGGTTTCAGCTACTGTTTGCAGTCTAAGTCTAAGCTTAGTAGTAGTAAAAAGGGAGGACTTCTAAGAAGCCTATCTTCTGGTCACCTACTTGAGCCATGGCTTTGCAGTAGTTTAGATAAGTGATATAAAAATGTATTTGTCGGTCAAATGTGATGTACTTTGACAGAGTTTTTTCTGTTTATCACAAGAGAAAACTCTGTGCATAATGAAGCACGGTGCCAGGGCATCATGGCCAGTGATGAGCTTGTACCTCAGCTCAAAGCCAGCCGGCACAGCAGCACAGTGCTGCCTTGCTAATGCACTTTTTTCTTGGCACTTTTTTCCAATGTCAGGGGACAGGCCTGAACAAAATTTCAATGTGAATTGTGATTTCAAGTTACGAAGGCAAGTTTTCAAGGTAGCAGTAAGTTGCAGCTGAAGGTGGTATTACTTGTGCTAGGTCACTCAATTCTGCTTTCACCTACGGCCACGTTGTTATAGCAAAGCCCCTCCTGCATGTGTATGTTTTAAATATATAATTTACAAAGCACTTCAGATTCCTTTGACATGCTAGGCATCTATTTTCTCTGGTGATTTTATTGTTTTACATACAATATATAAAACATATGGAGAACATGCCACTAGCAAGCCAATTCATATTTCCATAATAGCATCACTAAAACCTATGCACATGTGTTGCAGGTCACACATGTGAATAGTCTTTAATCACATGCCTGTCTACAGGATCAAGCATCTACATAACACTTCTTTGGCTTCATGCTGTGATCATGCTGCGATTCCGTGAGTTTTTCACAGCAAGTAAAGAACTCAAATTATAGCAGCCTTTGGTGAAAACAGGAACAGTGCAGATTCTATCCTTCACAGTAGAACTTCTCTAAATAAGCTATAGCATGATTTATTTATTTTTATATTAACACGCATTTCTACTAGCTTGTTACCTTTTTATCACTCTATGAATAAATAATTTGTCAAATTAGATGGGCAATGCTCTGAACAAGCACATTCATCCTCTCAAAATATTAGCCAGAGATCTCTTCAAATTGTAGTTATTCAGAAACTGAAAAATAAGTAATATATCACTTACCTCAAGCAGATTAGCAAAGTTTTTCCATTTATTCGTAAGGTACTCCTGAACCACCTTTTCATGCTGAGAAGAAAGGTTCTGGCAATCAGCAGAACATGAGAAGAATGGGGTAGGCTGACTGCTCTAAGTTAAAGAACTTTATTTACCAATACAGATCCAAGCCTACAATTCTTGTTCCAAGAATTTTCATTACTAGAGAACAAAAATGAGGTAAACATTTACAGAAAGAGAAGGGGTCTAGATGAAATCCCTGATATTGCTGTTTAGCATTAGAATGCAATCAGTGCTGAAGATGAAGAAGGAACACACTTCACAGTACAGGTGCTATTCTGGATGTTGGTCGCCAATTGGACAGCCAATTCTGGATGCTGTAGCATAGATAGCTTCTGAAACCATTTCATACATGAAGTATGAAACCTATGACATAATTAATATACAATGCTATACAGCAGGGTTTACAGTAAATAGTAGAAAATCTGTTATTTTCAGCTACCCTAGTGCTGAACATCAGAACAAGTGTTATTTTTTGCAATGGTAAAATACATCAAGCCTGATGACAGTTGATTTGTTCACATGAACCAGATTTTCAAGATACTCTGTTGAATTTTGCAGCTCCTGTGGAATTAGGTAAGTAGCCCCTCATATAATTAGAAAATCATTTATTTCTTAAAATGGTTCATGCATTATCTGTCTCAGAAGATACCATTCGATCAGCTGTTCA